TTTTTTAACCTCCATATACCATGCAGGATGCCTCACCTCCCCGAGGTTATGAGTTTACCACCCTCTATGCGTACACATAATATTAAAAAAAGAAGTAGTTTTAACCTCTCTTTTTTCCCCTCTTCAAATTCAGGTTGATCCCTATCTTGGCTTTAGTGACGATCTTCAAGTATATGTAAAGCCTGATGCGGATCTAAGAGAATGTGGATCTGCTGCTGATAATCGGCTGGCTACATCAATTCTAATTGAGTTGCGGGACAAAATCTACGAGTCGGAGAATGTTGTAATAGATATCTTAGTTCAGAATCTGACGAAGATTACTAAGGTATGATAATTCTTGAATGACCAATAGAGTTTCAAATTACTAATTGTTTCACTTTCCCTCTCACATGTCTGTTTCTGCGTCTTAAGCTGGAGGCAGGAGATGTTTTAAAGCAACTTTCAGAACCCTTTACAGCTGACGATGCATTCACATTCGGCCCTCGATCAGCACTGGACCTTGATCATGATCAGATGGTTGCTCACTCCAAGGAATCCTTGTCCTTTGATGCGGTATACTTTTTAATTATTCTAGTCTTGCTAACATCTGAATTTTTATGGGAACTTGAAGCGGTGGAATTTAGTCGCATTATTAACTATTGTTACTCAGGATCTTCCAACAAATTCATTGGTTGAGGATGATGCAACAAGTGAGCCATCAGTTGCGGACGTCTCTCGCTTCATTCCCAGAATGACTTCATCTTCATCTGGGTCCCATATTATCAGCATTGGGCAGCTTTTGGAATCAGTAATAACTCCCTTTTCATTTTACCTTTTACTCCTGTCCTGTAACATTGAAATTGTTCCCTCTTGCTTGTATACTGAAGAAGTCCAATTTTAGGCACTTGAGGTTGCCGGGCATGTAGCGGGATCATCTGTCTCCACATCACCGCTCCCATACAATGCCATGACAAGCCAATGCGAAGCCCTCGGAACAGGCACGAGAAAGAAGCTCTCCAATTGGTTGGCCCATGAAAATCATGGCAACAAAGCTGCTGACAAATTCTTTTCAGCATTTCCTGCAGATGTCCGCAAAACCCTACATAAGGTCAGATAGACATTATATGCTTGGCTCTTTCTCGTATCAATTTCGACATCAGAATCTCGAGCGTTAA